ACCTTAGTACCCCCCCCCCCCAAAAAAAAGTGAATTCACAGAAATAGAAAGCAAAATAGTGGCTACTAGGGACATGGGGGTGGGGGAATGGGGAGTTACTGAGTTTCTGAATGGGATGATGAAATAGTTTTAGAAACAGGGGTGATAGTTGCACAATATTTTGAGTGTACTTAGTAACTCTGAATGGTACCTTAATGGTACCTTAATGCCTCACCCCAATACTGGGGATTGAACCCAGAAGTGTTCTATGACTAAGGTATATCTGCAGCCCTTTTATATTTTATTTTATTTTGAGGCATGCCTCACTAAGTTGCCTAAGCTAGTCTCAAACTTGCAATCCTCCTGCTTCAGCCTCCCAGTTGCTGGGATTTATAGGTGTTTGCCACCATGCCTGGCTCTGAATTGTACATTTTAAATGGTTATAATGGCAAATTTTATGGTACACATATTTCATCCTAAGTTTAAAAAGGAGGATGACTAACAAGCTGGCCTATTTTCAGAGTAAAAGCAAATTTTTTCTTCTTCAAATGGAATTGCCACTCAGTGGTACTAGAAATTCTATCCAGAGCAATTTATTTTCTTCTCTTGCCTAATTGCTCTGGCTAGAATTTCTAGTACAAAACTTGTGTGTTCCACTCATTCAACACTATTTACTGTGCCTTGCATAGTTGCAGACACTACATGGACAGAGTTAGAGTAGGTAATTAATTCTGGATTCTTTCAAAATTAGACATAAGCCTAAGGAAACTTCTGGCAAGGGCCCATTCAGAAATCTCAGTAAACAAAGAGACTCAATGCTATGGTGAAGATTAATTTGAAGGGACTGTTCACCTTAATCTTGTTTCAGAAGCCTTAAAGTCCCTACCAGTAAGTTAAGGGAGCATAGGGACTAACAAAAAAAGAAATAAAGTGGGCATAAAAACCAATCTAGGAGAGAATTTTTGTGGTAGTTATTGGTACATTTTGCTCCCCATGAGCAAAGAGATGAGATGCCTACTAAATTTTTAAGAGGAAAATCCCACAAGCTTGGCTTGAAAAAGCCTTTGAGTGCTCAAGCCACAAAGTAATTCTTGGGCTCCCCAAAACTTACCAGGTGGAAGTAGATTGTGGAAGGATAGTCTGAACTTCAGATCATCATGTAGGTGGTAGTAAAAGGATCTCCCAAAATGTGGGGCTGAGGCTGCAGAGGACAGTGGACATTTGGGTTCACTGTGGAGGTAGATCCAGATTCCTTTCAAGAAACATGCTCAATCTGGCAAGGGGTGGGGGTCCTCCTGCCTGTTAAGTGAGATTTTTATCATTGCTATGGAAGCATTTTGTTTCCCATCCTTTCTCTTACTAAATGGAAGATTTTTGGGGGGTGGGGTGGAGTGCTGGATACATCCGTCGTCCTTTTTATAATTTGAGAAAGGTTGTAAATTATTAAGGATCTTGCTAAGCTGCTGAGATTGGCCTCAAATTTGTGATCCTCCTGCCTCTGCCTCCCATGTGCCACCACACAAAGCCAAATGGTTTTTTAAAAAGAAGATACTGTTATAATTTGAACCTTAAGTGAGCACCAAAGTTCGCATGGTAAAGTTTTATTTCCCAGGGTGGTGCTATTGGGAGGTGCTGCATCTTTAGAAAGCATGGTCTGGAGGGAAGCCTTTAGGTCATTGGAGGTATATCTTTAAAGGGGATTTTATGAACCCAGTCTCTTCCTCTTCCTCTCTCTTTTGCATTCCATCCATGAAATGAGCAATTTTGCTTAACTCTGTATATTTTTATTATGATGTGCTGCTGCAGGCCCAAAGAAATGGGGCTAATTGATCATAAACTAAAATTTATAAAACCATGAGCCAAAATAAACCTTTTCTCTTTATAAGTTGATTATGGAAAGCTAACATAGACACCCTGCCCATAATCCTCTTTTCCATGGTGGTTGGGTGACTCATTTTTAATTCACAAAATAGCATTATTTGAGAACTTCTTCTTGCCCCCCATCTTAGACTTTGTCTTGGATGCAGAGACTGCATGAGGGGTTGTGTATTCTGTGTGTAAGAAGGAAATACATGGGTGGATTGAGTCACATGGTGGAGTGGACTGTGGAAGAGGTTGCTAGCTGTGGACCCAGATCCATGACATTTTTTCCCCACTGTGATTGCAATGCTGAGCACCTGGATGGCAAGCTTCTGTGTTTTTCTTCCTCCCTTGAAGTGAGATGAATCTATTCATGATAGTCTATCTGTATTGTCAAACTTGATTGGATTAAGAAATGCTTAAGATTAAGAGGTTTCTGGGTTTGTCAGTGAGGGTGTTTTAGGAATGATTGGCATGTGGAAGAATGAAGAATCTGATGTAGATGCAAACTTGATTCTTCTTGAGAAGGTGCTTTGATTGCTGCTGTGAGTGCCTGAGGACATCAGAGTCCAGCTCCTACACTCTTCCAGAATTAACGCAGAAATTGGTACCAGAAGTGGGGTCACTGCTGTGACTAAATAAACCATGTGGATTGGAAGCATTTGGAACTCATTTGTGGGAGGAATTTGGAAAAGTTTGGAGATGCAGGCTGGTGAAACCTTAGAATATAGTAAGCAGACCTTAATGAGCAATTTTGGTGGGAACTGAGAAGACCAGAATGCTGATAGGAATATGAACAGTAAGGCTCATGATAGTTTTAGAGGAACAGAAAAGCTCTATTGAAACTTGGACCAGAGGACACTCATGTTACATTCTGGCAAAATTGTCTACATTTTGCCTATGATCTGAGACTTTCTGTGAGACTGAACTTAAAGTGATGGATTAATTAATCTGGTGGAAGAAATTTCAAGGCAGCACAGCATTCAGGCAGTACATGTACATTGCTAGTGGCTTTTAGCCAAGTTTATTGAGAGGAGCAGAAAGCATAGTGAAAAGATTTGAAAAACTTGCAATTTGACCAGAAAAGTGAGTGTAAAGCAAATAACAAAAGTTAGTTAGTATAAAGCTGGGGCCAAGAAAGTTATGGTTGTTTAAAATTTTACAGGCACTAAAGAGTTGCTAAGTGATTTGTAAATAGGAGAGACAATAGGAAAGATGGCTTAAGGGTGTCTCTGGTCTTGGCAAGGACATACATATTGTATATTCAAGGGTGTAGATGTAAAAATTCCTTTGAGAAAAGACCATGGGGGGCAGCCTGCTTGCACAGAGTGGCCTAGGAAGTTGTTTGATCATGCTTGGCTACTAAGGCGCTCAGATGCCCCGAAACCATGGTTCCAGGAGGCCTGGCTACTGCTCAAGATGGCAACACACTTTGGCATCATCCGCATGGGGCTGTTTTACAGGAATGCAGGATACTGGAGTCAAGGGGTTATGGAGCCTTCCACTGAGGTTTGTTTTGTGTTTTTATACTGCAGATTGAACCCCGGGTCACTTAACCACTGAGCCACATCCCTAGACCTTATTTATTTATTTTTGAGACAGGTTTTTGCTAAGTTGCTTAGGGCTTTGCCAAGTTGTTGAGGTTGGCTTTGAACTTGTGATCTTCCCGCCTCAGCCATTTGAGTCGCCAGGATTATAGGTGTGAGCCACCACATCTGGCTTCCACTGAGATTTTGAAGGAAAGTCTGGGAGGGCAGGCAGAGCGTAACAGGGTCAGAATCCCTATAGGCAGCCCCTGAGAGGGCAATATGTGAAGATATATAAAGAAAACTGAAGGTGCCAAGGATTTCCTGAAACATGGAATGTCTACTGAGGAAATCTGCAGAAATCAAGCAGAAACAATCCAAGGGAGAGTCCATGTGGGCTCAGGATGTCATGAGCCCCAGATGTTAGATGTGGAACTACAGGACTTATTTGCTCATCTGGATTTCTCTCTTGCTTTGGTCCTATCCTGTCTTTCTATACCCCTATATCTACCTTTTGGAATGGAAATGTTTACTCTACCATCATATGTTGAGTATATGTAACTTGTTTTTGATCTGTACAGGTGCTCATAGCTAAGAGTTTGCCTTGAGTCTCAGATGAGATTTTGGATTTGGACTTTTGGGAAATGCTCAAACTGTTAAGATTGTGGGGGTGCTTGGAAATGAATTAAATATATTTTGCACTGTGCAGTGGGCATGAGATTTTGGGGGCCAGGAACAGAATGTTATGGTTTGTATTTAAGGTAATCCCTGAGAATTCATGTGTAAAACAATGCAGGAGTGTTCAGAGGAGATATTGTTAAATTATGAGAGCTGCAACACAATCAGTGGATTAATCCATTTGCTAGATTAATAATTTGAATGAATTAATGGGTGGTAATTGTAGGCAGGAAGGGCATGACTGGAGGAAAGAAGTAGGTCACTGGGGCATTTTGTCCCTGATGAACAGAGCTCTCTGCTTACTAGCTGTCATGTCCTGAGCTATCTTCCTCTGCCACTCACTTCTATCATGATGTTCTGCTTCATCTTGGGCCCAAAGCAATGGAGTCAGCCAATTATGAACTGAACCTCTGAAACCATGAGCCAAAATAAAATTTTCTTTTTCTAAATTGTTCTTGTCAAGTCTTTTGGTCATAGCAATGCAAAGCTAACTAAAACACCATTGAATATGAGTGGAAGTGATACATACCATTTGGGGATTCAGGCACTAAAGAAGAGAGTAACTCTTTCATACTTTTTTCCTGACTAGATGCAGATAATGACTCAACTTTAGGGGATGGGTGGAGCCATTAAAATGGAATGGAAGGAGACTGGATTCCTAAATGACTCTGTAGGGGAGAATCTCCCAGCTGATGAAGACCTGCATTTGATTGTTGTGGGAAATACAATTCTATGTGGTATTGGTTTCAGTGTATTTGTTATAGCAACAAAGTGTGCCCTTATAAACTCAGAATGAATGCATTAGTGACCAAAAACGAGTTGGAAGGGAATACAAGATCACTCATTCCTTCAACATTATTGAGTACCTAGTTCATGCTCAGTCTGCGTTTATGAAAGTTACTAGTTTTTATTTTCTTTCTTTTTGTTTTTGGAATTTCTTAAGGAAGGTATGTTCAGAAAAATATAGAACTCTTCATGAGTTTGCATGTCATTCTTGCACAGGAGCTATGCTAATCTCTCTCATTCCAATGTTAGAATACTTGTTGTCTGCTTTAGTCAGCTTTTTCAATGTTGTGACCAAAATACCTGACAAGAACAATTAGAGGAGGAAAAGTTTATTTCAAGGCTCATGGTTTCAGAGGTCTCAGTCTTAGAAAGTTGGTTCCATTCCTCATGGCTCCAGGTGAGGCAGCACATCACAGCAGAAGAGTGTGTGGTAGCTCAGGACATCACACCAGGAGGGAGGGAGGGAGGGAGAGAGAGAGAGAGAGAGAAAGAGAGAGAGAGAGAGAGAGAGAGAATGAATACTCCACTCTTCAGGGACAAAATACATATCCCAAACCCACACCCACAATGACCCACCTCCTTTAGCCACACCCTGCCTGCCTATAGTTACCACCTAGTTAATCCCTATCAGGGGATTAATGCATTGATTAGGTTAAGAGTCTCATAACCCAATCATTTCACATCTACGTTTTCTTGCATTGTCTCACATACAAGCTTTTGTGGGACACCTAATAGTTAACCCATAACACTGCCAAAATGAGCACAGTGACTAGGGTTTAGCTTACCATCTAGCAGAAGAGACAAAAGACTTAATAAAAACTGAAATTGGCAAAGCTACAGGGACTTTTAGGAAACATAAAAGAGATTAATAGATTTTTTCTGGAGATTCTTGCTTTCTTAAGAAAATTTCCCATAGGCTGTAGTACATGAGTAAGAAGCACATTTCAGGTGGAGGTCCCTAAAGACAGTGTCAAAGTGGCTGGAGAGATACCAATGTTTCAGGTGGCTCAGACTTAAGGCACAGAGGGTCCACTTGGCACATGAGGCTTGGCCAAGGATTAGCAATGAACAAAAGGGCAACCCAAAATTCTGTGCACTTGGAAAGGGAAAAGTACTTCTGTAAGTGGCATTTGGGCCAAAGAGGGACACAGCATTGGATTATAGACCCTTTATGAGTGAATGACCATGAATGTACTGAATAGAAAACATATGTATAATAGACATAGCAATGCTTAAGTAACATTTTCATCCTCATATGCACTTGCTAGAAACTAAATGGGAAATCAATGAGCAAAGGATTCTCTCAAGATGCTGAAAGCTTGAACATAAAGAAGATAAAATAAATAAAACAAAAATCAGAATAAAGGAATCAGTAATGATAAAAGTAGAAACTATTTGTATTTTATATAGAAAATACACAAACAAAACAACAGTAGCTGGGCACAGTGGCGCATGTCTGTGATCCCAGAGGCGGAGACAGGAGGATCGAGAGTTCAAAGCCAGTCTCAGCAATGGCCAGGCACTAAGCAACTCAGTGAGACCCTGTCTCTAAATAAAATACAAAATAGGACTGGGAATGTGGTTCAGTGGTCAAGTGCCCCTGAGTTCAACCCCAGTTACCCCTGCCCACACAAAAAAACAAACAGTAAAATTGATTAAGAAATCTCAAACCCAGTTCTTTTAAAAGACCAATAAAATATATAATCACTTGGTAATTGATCAAGGGTAACAGAAAATACACAAATAAACAACTTCAGGAACGAGGAAGTGACTTAATTATAGATACAAGGAAGGCTGAAAAATATATGAGTTATATATAAGACATCAATGCATTTTAAAAATATAGAGGAAAAGGAAGATTTTCAGATAACATAAATTTTCAAAATTGACTTAGGAAGACAGAAAGAAACTGAATATGTGGATAACAACAGAAAAATATTATTAATTGTAGAAGAACTTTCTCCCTACAAGAACACCAAACCAGCTAGTTTTTTAAAAATATGTGCCTGTTTTGGCTGGTGATAGACTTACAATGGATTACTAAATAAGGGGATGACACCCAGCATCTTGGGAGATTGAGGCAGGAGGATCACGAGTTCAAAGCCAACCTCAGCAAAAGTGAGGTGCTAAGCAACTCAGTGAGACCTTGTCTCACACTTAAAATACAAAGTAGGGCTGGAGATGAGGCTCAGTGGTTGAGTGCCTCTGAGTTCAATCACCAGTACCAAAATAAATAAATAAGGGATGATAGACAGGCTCTGTTGGCTGTCAGGGAATATGTGTGAGGGATGTGGAGTCAGGATACTGACAGAGGGGCTAGGAGAATAATGATCTTAATATGCATGTATTCAGAATGTTCCTTGACTTACAACAGCTGGACTTTTGACTTTTCAACTTTATGGTGGTATAAAAGTGATACACATCCAATAGAAATTGTACTTCAAATTTTTATTTTTCATCTTTTCCCTGGGCGAGTGGTACAATCCTTTGTCATAATCCTGGGCAGTTGCAGGTACCACCACAGCTTCCATGGGGAACAACTGAGACTCTATAGTGTGCTGTGTTGCTCAATTATGATGGGTAGGTTAAGTATGGTAAATGCATTTTCCACCTATGATGGGTTTACCAGGATGTAAACCCATACCTGTCAAGGAGAATCTGTACTCTGTGTCAGACACTGTCTTAAACTTTTTATGTGGACAAATTTATTTGATCCTCAAGACATCTTTATGAAGTATCTTTATTTTCCTCAGTGAAGTCCTTATGTTGCAGAGAGATAAAATAATTTAGTTACTCTTCTCAGCTTCGCTAATATGAAGTTTAAATCCTGAACCCTATTTCTAAGACCCACTCTGAAGCACTGAGTTATCCTGGTTCTGAGAGTTAGAGGAGGGACAGATAAGCTGAACCATCATAGCGGAGGGAGTGGTGATGGATGAAGGATTCTGGGGCATAGGTCTTGTAAGTAGAGAGTGTGGACAGTGTTCATAGTAATGAACACAGACTCAGGCCCAGGGTGCTTATCAGGATCTATGTAGCGCCATACACCCATAAGCAAGTACATACACGACAAAATGCCTTATACACAGAACATAAAATTCAATAAAATGACAAGAAACCAATTAACAAATAAACAAACTCACCAAAGAATGCTCACTACAGATACAAAAATATATACAGCATCATTGGTCAAAAAGAGAAATGTAAATTAAAACCACAATTATGTACTACTAAACACGGTTCAGAATGGCTACCATTTAAAAGCTGGGAAAAACCAAGAGTTGGGGAACATGTGTGTGAAGCAACTAGAATCTTTAAACATTTCTGGTGGAAGTGACAAATGGTAAACCACTTTGGCAATTTCTTCTTCAGTCAAATATACATTTACCTACAATACTATTCCAGACATTTATCTTTCCAAAATGAAGACACACATATGTATTGGAATGTTTACAGAAGCCTCCCTCATGATAGCCAAAGCCTGAAAACAACCCAACTGTAGACACACATTGCTCAGCAATAGGCAGGGGGAAGACTAATATACTCCTGATCTATGCAAAGCTCATGCCAAGGGAAAGAAGCCACACTCAGGAGTTCTGTACATGACGATTCCACTTATAGAGAATTCTGGGAAAGGTCAAAAAACAAAAGGGAAAGCAAACAGATCAAGTGTTTCCAAAGGGGTGGGCCTGAGGGGATTTGGGGGTGATAGAAATATTGTCTTGGTGGTGATGACTGTTATATCACCATATACATTTGACAAAGATCATCAAACTGTGTACTTAAAAACAGATTTTTTTTTTCTACCAGGGATTGAACCCAGGGACACCTAACCACTGAGCCACATCCCCACTCCTTTTTATTTTCTATTTTGAGACAGGGTCTCACTAAGTTGCCTAGGGCCTTGTTCAGTTGCTGAGGCTGGCTTTGAACTTGGGTTATTCCTGGCTCAGCCTCCCAAGCCTCTAGTATTACAGGTGTGTGCTACTGCACCCAGCAAAAGGTGGATATTATTGTGTGGACATTATACCTTAAGCTTTTTTTTTTTTTTTAATGAAGAGCAGAAGATGAAGTTGAAAATACTCAGATGCCAGCAGCTGCCTAGAGAGACTGGAGCTACATCTTTCCCTTTGGGGATAGAGCACTAAGGAACCCATTCTCCAGCTCTCTCAATGGTACTTCAGGCAGAAGACAAGGCTCTGGGGAGCTGGTGGGACTCCTATTAGCTACTACGGACGAGCAATTTATTCCCTGAAAACTTCTGTGTCCACTCCTATAAAACAGATAAGATGCCACTTGACTCCAAAGGATTAGATGAGAAATCCTATTATTCAAAAGAGATTTTATTTTGTTATAGAGCCAAGAAGATGTGGTTCCCAGAGGGGAAAACTCTGTTCTCTGTCCAAGAGAGCCAGAACTCCTGAAGTCCAGTGTCCTGGACCTCAGGCTACTTCTCCTGAGTGTGGGAGAATAAATATCATGAAAGCAAGGTATCTGGTCAAAATCCAATTTCCTTTCTCAGCCCAAATGTCACTTGGAGACTGTTATGGTTTGGATATAAGATGATCCCCAATAGCTTCCATTTTAATGTAGAAGGTGAAATGACTAGATTATGAGATCTGTGGACCTAATCAGTGGATTAATAATTTGAACTGATTACTGTGTGGTAAATGTAGGCAGGTGGAGTATGGCTGGAGGTAGTGGGAGTACCTTGAGATTATATATTTAGTCCTTTGCTCCTCCCACTCTGACTCTGCTTCCCAGTTGCCTTGAGCTGAATAGCTATCCTCTACTATACCCTTCTTCCAGGATACTCTGTATCATTCAGACCTAGAGCATTGAAGTTGGCCAACCACGAAATGAACCTCTGAAACCGTGAGCCCTAAATAAGCTTTTTCTTCTCTAAGTTTTTGTCAGGCATTTTTGTCACAGCAACAAAAATCTGACTAATACAGAGACTGTCACTATTGGAAAACACTTCCCATTTTATTTGTTTAGGGTTAAGTGCCATTGCCATCTTCTAAGAGGCAGATCCCATAAGAGCAGAACTTGTGGGTCTTCTGCAGGTTCTGAGTCCCAGGGCTGGGTCCATCATGGGTTATCAATACTCAATAATGGTTCTATCATCCAGAGGCCAGTGAAACCTAAAGCCACACCCTGCAGGCAGGCTCAGGCTCACTTTCCTGGTATTCTGTGTTGGAGAGGCCCCTGGGACAGCTCCTGGCCTCGTGAGCTCCTGGGGGTGAGGCAGACACTTTCTTATTCCTATGAACC